GAAAAACATCTTTTATTTCTTTTATGAAAAACAGCAATGCGAAGCAGACAAATTTAAAACAAACTTTTTAATATTTCCTCAAACATGCATTCGTGATTGATTTGCAAAATCTCTTTGATTGAGTGATTTGATTTGTTGAGCTCAAATCGGTTTGCACAGGCTAATGCAAACACAGCTATAGACTAATCATGGCACGCGTTTTATTGCTATTATTTTTTAAAGGAAAATGTGGAAGGGTAGGCCCACATACAAAAACTCAACTCAGTGTACACGCAAGTATCTCGTTGTAAAAATATACCTTCGTATACCTTCGGAACTTTCATCAAATTCAGACAATGTATTTTCTAAGCATGATTCGTCATTGACAGATGTTTCTTTAATTGTAGTATCAAATTCTATGGTAAAAACGAACATGAATGGCAAATTTAACAAAATATGCTCACACTCAATCAACACATCATTATGAAGATATTAATTTTTTACCAGTACACGAGTTTATGAAATCATTATCTCCTTTAACTTCGCCATTTTCCACCATTTCGGACTCATCAACTGAACAGAAGAAATGATTATCGAGAAAACATTTAAAAGGCTACTGTGTTGCTTTATCTTAGAAACTCATATAGTTGGGTTCAATGTCTTACATACAATTTGTAATATTTGCTATCCAAATGAACCTAAACATAGTTCAGTCTCTATTCATTATATAAGTTTTCATCACATTCTTTTTCTTTTGTTTGCAAAACAAAACTACAAGCACTTGATGAATAAATTTGTTAATTTCTACCCATGGTCTTCTCCCATTAGCAAAGTAACTTACTTTATTAAAATATGTTGCTATGTTTTCATTTATTTATATCTAAAATTGTAGTCTTGTGGAAAGGCAGCAAAAGTAGATAGCCCCAAATTCAAAAGAAAATACATACTTTGTATATCATCCTTCCCATTGGCAATCACATCTTTTTCTTCTTCACAAACAACTTTTTGTTCTGAAAGACTGGTTTCAATACCATTGTTAACATCACGGTCTTTTACAATCCCATGATCCTCGGCAGTTTCATCCATCCTATAATTACAAGCAACACGATCTAACACTGTAGCGTACTAGAGTGAACTTTTAACAAAACAATTCAGTAACGAGTCGGATGCATGTTGCTTGACATTAACTTACGTGAAAATTGGAAGATTGGCGATGATCTTTGTCACAATTTACTGTGGCAACAAAAACCAACATGATTAGAAAACAATTACAAAAATCATTCATATATTGAACACCAAGAAATGATGAAAAGACATCAAAACATTCGGAAAAAGTCCACAACTACTGGTTATCAATTATCAAGCCTCATTAATACATGGTTTTAAGTAGCAATCACCTTAGCAACTTCACCATACAAAATATGGTCTTCTTTGGTGAGAATTTGGGTACATTCTATTTGGGTACGTTTGGTGAGAATTCTGGGTACGAGAATTTTGGGTAGTTCCTCTTCATCCAACTTACGAATTTCTTCCCACAAATTGCGATGCTTGTCGGTGACAGATGACTTCAGAAGTGGAGTACTTGGAAAAATGCCAACCTGAGTTAGAATTTAGAAAAGAAAAATCAAGTTTATATAAGTCGCATAAACCAATTTGAAATCACCTATTTCTTGATAATTTATATAATTAAGCAAGTGCGATGTAATCAATTAATACAAATGAACAATAAAGTAAATGTTCAGTAAAATAGAATAAAAGTAAAATAAAAATTTTTGGTAAATAAACAGGGCACTCCACAACCACTGAATAAGAGAAGGTACAACTTATGTATTATGGTATCATTCCAAAGAGTATGGTGATGGGTTGAATACACTTCATGAGAAAAACATTCTTCATACTTGACATAATAAACATTGGGAAATCTTTTATCAATGACATTTTTTCAAACATACAATGACAAAACGAACTTCTAGAGAAGTTCTTTAAAGCGCGTTGATCGAAATAAACATCAATGTCAAATTACATTTCAATGATCTCTAACTTGTAATCGAAAATCTCACCATAAAACTAAGTATTTCACAGTAAAACCTGACTAGATTTGCACCCATATTTTGCAAATCTTCTCTTACAAAGTGCACTAGTCAAAAACGTACTTGTCCAATTTTATTCCGAGTTAAAATAAAACTGACAAAAACAAGAGTCCAGTTAGATATAATGGTACAGAAGAACAGCAAAATTCAATAAAATCATTAACTATATATTGTACTTTTCACCTTAGATTCTAGACAGAAGATCTAGACCCTAGACCCCAGATCTAGAAAATCTAGACCCCTTGCCCAGGCAAGTGAGGTTTCTCTCAGTCAGTAGTGAATGTCGACCTTTACTCTCGTCGTGTGAACTGCCACTTGACAAAATTGGCGAGCAAATAATTCCGTCAAATATATTTTCTTTCCCAGTCAGTTTTGGTTTTTCCATGCTACACAATAAAATGAACTGTTACGGAAAACTTTTCATATAATTTTTAATGGGATTTTTCATTTGAAAGATAATAGAATTTTGAATCTTACCATAATATCTTCAACTGTCTTTCGCCATCGTTTCCAGACTCCGCCCAGGATTATCTCTCACGATGTGCTTCCACTTTTCATGAAAAATAAAAAAGAGTAACTCATGCATTTTATTCAATATTCGGTTAATGTAATATTTTTTGTATTTTACTCATATGACATACGGAAAAATATTTGCCTCTGAGAATGTATTGAATGTATTGTATTTCATAATTCATTTCTACGTAAAACTTAGACTCGAGACTTTAAGTTTAATGGTCCACTTTTTAAAGATGCAACCTTTTGAACTATAGTCTTTGTATGAAAATTCGTGAACTATAGTCTTTTGCATAAAAATTCGTGAAATATAGACTTTTTCATGAAAATACGTTAAATAAAGTCTTTGCATGAAAATTCTTGAACTATAGTTTTTTGCATGAAAATACGTTAAATATAGTCTTTGCATGAAAATTCGTGAACCATAGTCTTTGAATGAAAACCGTGATCTATAGTCTTTTATTAAAATGCTTAACTATAGTCTTTTGCATTAAAAATCGTGAACTATAGGCTTTTGCATGAAAAGTTTCCATCAAAAAGGTTCCGATCATATTACGGAATATTGCGATGACTTCACGAGCCTACTACGCATGCGTCATTTTCCCGCGAAAACTTGAAATATTTTTCTCGTCGTCTTCTTGTTAAAGCATTGTTAAGATATTTTAAACGTATTCACTTCCAGTTTTAAACCTTTTAAAAGTTAAAGAAATTAAAAAACGTTATCTTATCTAATAAGATTGTATCCACAAGTGTGTCTGGATTGTTTGCTAACTCTGCCAGGTATTTATTTCAATTTGAGTATCGACTTTATGTACAGTTGGGGAAAATGCATTTCCTACGTTTAAAAATTGTTTGTTGTTGTTGTGCATTGGTTTTGTAAAGAATGTCGAAGACAGAAAAAGAAGAGCTCAGTGATTATGAACTCCAAAGACTTGCTAAAATCAAACAAAACCTTGATTTCCTCGAGAATTTGGGCAAGTGCATTTTAGCCTTCATTCGTGAAGCCCAATGTGTTTATGTTGGTATATTTTGCGTTTATAAAGGCATTGAAGTGGACAGGTCTGCATATCTTCCGAAGCAACGAACAAAGAAGAGAAAAATTGACGAAGACAGTAGCAGTGATGAAGAATGGTTACCTGGAAAAGATGAAAATTTTTTGCTAAAGAAAGTCAAGCCAAGTGAGTTAGCTTAAAGACAATTTGCTAATCTATATTTTGTCAGTGAAAAGCACTTTTTAAATATGAATTTGTTTTGTTTTCAGTCTTTAAATCAACATTTAGAAGCAGTTCCGTCACCAAGAAATCTTCAAATAAACAGGTAGCTATGTCGTAAAAAAAAGATGAAAAGAAATGATTGACTATACATGCGTATATTCTTATTAAATTTTACTTACAAAATTTTTGCAGGCTTCTTCGAAAAAATTTTGTGCTCCTTCGGCCTCGTCAAATAATGATTTTAATTCATCTGTTGATGACAATTCAATGGTTAAAAATAATGATGAAAAAGCTAAATGTAATATTAAAAGAAAATCAATCAAACATAAATGTAAATATCTAAAAAATATACCTTCAAGACGATCTTCGAGAAACTCGTCAAGAAAGAACTATACTGAAGAAGAAGTACCTGACGATGATCATTATATTTGTACGTATTTTACATATTCACGTCGACTCTGAACGTTTTTTTAAAGTTCGCTTTATAAACATAAGTTCATCATTGTGATTTCATCTTTTCGTTATAGATTGTGAGCAGTGCAATGATTTTTACTATGGCGAATGTCCATCGCACAATTTTCACATCATTGAAGATAGCACAATGAGATCAAGAAAGGGAACATCAAATGCTTTGAAGACACTTCCTGAAGATCTTTACCTAATACCTTCTACCATACCTGAAGCAGGCATGGGTGTGTTTGTAAATAAAAAGTTAGAGATCAACACTCGTTTTGGACCATACAGAGGAGAGAAAGTTTTGCTTGATGATTTAGAGGAAGGAAGAGATACTTCGTACATGTGGGAGGTAAACATATCGTCTGAATTGTTTTTTTTTTATTAAAATACTTTCTGCCTGTTTCATTAACACCATCCAGCTAAAGAATGTAGGGCTTTGGCACTACTATTTACCTGTTGCTGTTTATAGATTCTACAAGAAGGAAAGATTCAATATTATATTGATGGTAAAGATCCAACTCAAGGCAACTGGATGAGATTTGTGAATTGTGCACGATGTGAAGATGAACAAAATATAATTGCATATCAACATCACGGTGAAATTTACTATCGAGTTTATAAAGAGATTGAGGCAGATAAAGAGCTGCTTGTTTGGTATGGAGATGAATTTGCTGAACAACTGGGAGTATCATTGTTTGACGAGGAAGACGACGAGAAACATTTTGAAGGTTAGTTACCTGGTATTGTATGATAATTTAATTTTTTATATAGTGATCTTATGATATCTAACTATTCTTTTATAGTTGGAGGTCACAGCTGCAGACATTGTGGAAGGATGTTTACTTATCTTAATTTCTTAGAGAAACATTTAAAAAGATGTCCACTGCTTGTTTGTACAAAGCTATGGGAATGTCCACATTGTAGTCGAAAGTACAGTAGCGAGGACTACCTAAATGTTCATATAAAAATGAATGCAGAAAAATCCACTGTTACAAGACAAATTGTCGTGTAAGGAAACGAATTATTCTTCAGTTGGCAATGATAAACGTCGAAGCAATAGTGGGAACTGTGTTTTGAAATTATCGCAGAGGGTTGAAGAAAATTATGCAGGAGAGAAACATGACGGATTGAGACGTTATCAATGTGAACATTGTGGTAAAACATTTACAAGGCTCTCTCACTTGAATCAACACGTTAGAATTCATACTGGAGAAAAACTTATCAATGTGAACATTGTGGTAAAACATTTACACAGCTTGGTGACATGAATAGACACGTTAGAATTCATACTGGAGAAAAACCTTATAAATGTGAACATTGTGGTAAAACATTTACAGTGCTTGGTTCCTTGAATCAACACGTTAGAATTCATACTGGAGAAAACCTTATCAATGTGAACATTGTGGTAAAACATTTACAGTGCTTGGTTCCTTGAATCAACACGTTAGAATTCATACTGGAGAAAAACCTTATAAATGTGAACATTGTGGTAAAACATTTACAGTGCTTGGTTCCTTGAATCAACACGTTAGAATTCATACTGGAGAAAAACCTTATCAATGTGAACATTGTGGTAAAACATTTACAGTGCTTGGTTCCTTGAATCAACACGTTAGAATTCATACTGGAGAAAAACCTTATCAATGTGAAAATTGTGGTAAAACATTTACACATCTTCATCACTTGACTCAACACGTTAGAATTCATACTGGAGAAAAACCTTATCAATGTGAACATTGTGGTAAAACATTCACACATCTTAATAGCTTGAAACTACATAAAAATATCAAACATTAAAACATTTTATAAATTACGAGTAAAGTATGTGTGCGAGTGATAACAAATTTCGTGGATGATTATGTAAATTTAGTAAATATTTTCAAAAAATTTTTTGCAGTTGAGTTGAATATAAACAATATATTATTTATTCACGTGAACATCGAGAATGACGTCATTATAATGTATAGTAAATATAACATTCTTTGTAAAACTCTGTGTTGAACAACAGGTTTTCTTTCGCAAATCATTTTAGTGGAATCAAATCATGAACGGCTGTGAAAATAAGTTTGGTATGCAAGATTTGCCAGATAGATGATGGTGAAGACTGGTTGGGATGTGATTCATGTGGGCAGTGCAAATTTTATCTGAGAAAACCTCGGTTTGGCCCTGTTTCGGCTCTTTTCAAAAGGAAGAGCAATACAAATGTACTCAGTAACTCAATAGTAAGTTAACAATACAACGAGGTGCCGTAATTTTACACTTAGGTAAGCTAACGGTGCTTGTTTAGTATGTGTTTTTGGTTTTTTAAGATCTGTGGTGATACCATGTCTTGCGCTTTGTATAGTTTTAATGAAACTTTGCGCTTTTGTAATGATTGGCAAAAATTCATTCGGTTATACGTACATTAGATGTAATTTTGTACACTTTCCGAAGAGAGTCTGATAATTCTTTCTGTTAGTTTTTTTACATTAATTGCGTTTGTATTGTTTCTTCGATGATTGCTGCATCTCCGTTTACATAAAAGAAAACCCTCTATGTTAAATGCTTCTGTCGCAGAATTCACTGAGTTCGTCCAGAAAATTGATCTGCACTCTGATTCGGTTTGTTTTATGGAGTTTATTAGCAATGAACAATCTACACAATCTCTCCGACTATTACAAATTTGAGTCTATTTATATGTTTACATTTCGTGACTTACGTGCACTACTACAACATGAATTAATTAAGAGAGAAAATACTTAGGAAGTGTTAAGTATATACACCCTAATTTTTAATTATAATTTTGGGACACATAAAACTCTGCATGGGAACTTATAAAATCTGGCATGCAACAAAAAAAATATAAATGAAATATCCTAAATTATACAACAGCTTCCTCCTTACGAGAATCGCGAAATTTCAATTGCAGACTATAGCCTGCTTTGGTTTTTATCAAAAATCTTTTTGTGTTCCATGAAGTAAATGTGTGAAAACATTTTATGGTTGATTCAAATTGCGGCAGTGATAGGAAGTGTTTTTTTAAACTTTGCACTAATCTGGATCGTTAGTTCTTAACTGTAAAGAAAAACATTGGTAAGCTACGTTTACACTTGTCGTTCTTAGCTTAAATCTTCAGTAACGAGAATTACTATACTTGTAGTTTTTCAACTTCAGTGACAAGAATTAATGTGCTTGTATTTGTTCAGCTTCATTAACAATTAAGAATGATTTTACTTTTAGCTAGTTGTTCAACTTCAGTAAAGAGAATTAATATACTTATAGTTGTTCAACTTCAATAACAAGAATCAAAATGAGTATGTATCCTCGCGTTTATAAAGTAGGTCTGCAGCAGCCAGATGGATCTACTTACACGGTCCGCAACCACGAGCCACGTAAACTAATTCGTCTTCCTGTAGACCCGAGCAGTCTGACAGAGGAAGAAAAAAAAGCTAGGATGAATCGTTTAAAACCAGAGAAGAAAATTGAAACACATGAATTTGATGAAGACGAAGCAGAGATTACTCAAAGATCTTGGAAACATTTTGTTACGAGATAACCATTATCGATTTTGTTTACTATTTGTTGTTAACACAACATAATATTTATTTACTGAAAACATATTTCCTGGTCGATATCGCAATATCACTGTCATGTGACGCATTTTCAAGTAATGAATCACTAGAAAGAAAGTTTGACGATTAGGTAAAAAAAGATTTGTGTTTGTGTTCTGTTTGGTGAAATTTAGAATTGCTGGATTGTTAAATGAAAACAAAAAATTTATGGATCACGGAAACAAGTTTGCGAGACAAATAAGTAAAATCTCTGAAAATTTGAAAAACATTTAAAGATAGAACTAAACGTGAGTTATCAATAGAATTAATGAGCCTAATAATAGTTTTGTTTGGATTTTTTAGTCAACACGGTATAGTTTGCAAGCTAGTTATAATCATTTATGTATTTATGTATGAGTAAGCTTGACCTTAAAGTATCTACAAGACTAACAAGAGTATTGTACCAATACTTCTACAGAAGCATTTTGGCAATGCTCTGAAATAGAGCCCGCCTTGCAAAGGATTAAAACTACTTCTATGATATGTCATGATTCGTTGTCTGCCAACAAGTTTATTTCCGTTCAAATTAGGAATATCCGATATGGTATTTCATGTTTATTTCTTTACTTTTCCGTCTTGAAAAGTATAACAGCATATGTTGTCAGATAAAGTCACCCTTAGACAGTAGTAGATATCCAATACTTTGGATTGATTGGAGTTACTCTTAAAGGCAGGAATAACAGTATTACACTATAAATGTCACGCACGGAAACCCCCCCAAATTTGTCAAAAAACCTGAGCGAGCATGATTGGTAATAGGACCTATAAAGTAAATGGTTTGAACCCGGGAGTAATGCTACATGTTTGTAAATGTAGATCGTCCAGGTTAGTATAGTCCTGAGAAGGACTGTTTTTGTTGTTCTTGACTGACGTTCCGACAACCTTAGCGTAAGACTCTGAAGTCCTAAGGACTTTAATAGGACTGTGGCAGCCATATTGACTTCTCAAACTCACTCATGAGAAAGTACCAAAAGGTTAAACTTATGATTCCGACCACTTTCTCTGAAGAAAGTTTGTTAAAAACTCGTCTTCCAGTGACTTGACAATTTGCCTTTATTGTAGTGGAAATTTCTCAGTAAAACACACGTAAAACACACAAGGTTCGATGTTGACATTGAACCTTGTGTCAGCAGTCTGATTGGTAAGAATTGCTTGAAATTTACACGTGTGATAGGTTTAAACCATGCTCATGCATAAGCGTACACAAAAGCTTCCATTTCATGCGAGGGGAGGAGTGGGATGGGGTAGTTTACTTGTCCAAATTTCTAATTTGTTCAAGAGTCATTCGATGTAGTTATTCATAGTTACATACAAGTTTAGTGTTTCAAGTCAATTGTGGAATAAAGTCACATCATTTCTAGCTTGTAGCTAGCGATTTCAAAGTTGTGCGGTCGCTCAAAGGCTCTCCATAGGGGGTCCTTTGTGTCATAAGTGTGAAACCGCTGTCCAAACGCACTTCCAAAGCGCTGTCATGTGCTTGCTCAAGAAGTAGCCTGTTTTCAATGTTAGGGCCAGTACGCCTTGAACGACTGCGCAACGCCAAACACATTTTTTTAGATAACGTACAAACGTATTAGCTTTTATTTCATTTACAATGTAATAATGTCTTTAATGACATGATTATTGAAATATATATTATTCGAAAGTTTGACAATTTCTCGCGTTGTAAAATTGCAACCTTGCGTTTTGCATTTTCGTACTCTGAGTCAGTATTTTGCCAGCGTGCAGAAATTGAGTTTTCCCTTTCCATGATCTTCAACTGCTCGTCAATTCTAAACAGTAAATACCAAATCATTACAAATATAAGGCACGGTCAGATAAGCACCTGCAAGTTGCATATACATCTCTACTTGTACGTACGTATAAAAACAAGAAATAATTTTTTATTCGATATTCCAACTTATTATTCACAATGTTACGACGTACATTCATATAGCTTCAAATTTTCCCAGTTCATTTTTCTAAATTCACACTGTTTAAGACTTTAATATCTCTAGAAACAAGTTCAACTTTTCAAACATACTTTTTCATCTGATTAAATCGAACAGTCAGTTCACTTGGATCAGTGCAACCATTCCATCGATGGTAAAGATCAGCGTACAAGTCCAGGTATATAACGTACTTGCATTTCCAATCTTCTTCTTCTGTAAGTTGTTGAAGATTTACGTATATTTGTTAAAAAAAGTTTTCTGTGGGCAAAACATTTCCACATAATGAGCATCAATAATTATGTGTCAAATCTGTTCCATAGCTACAAGCCATAGTTTCTCAAATACTAACCAGTCTCAACTTCACGACCAAAAAAAGTCGATTCGTCCTTCATCCACTCACGAATATCATCTATTGAAATCCTGTGAGCTTTAGATAATGAAAAAAAGAAAATTTACTGATTTCATGTGAGTCGTAAATAGTTCATATCCAAAATCGGTGTCAAATAGAACCACACAGCAAATACAAACATATACTCACACGGAAAGCACCTGCATAACTTTTCAATATCTGATTTTGCAGTTTCTTCCACGTCAACAGCTCGCTTCATCCTTGCCATCAGCAAATTGCCTCAAAAAACAAAATTTAATTCATACCTGCTATTACATAGTATAATGACATGTTAGCTATGTATACGTTCAAACAAAGAAACAAAAACTAGTTATACCTAAATTAATCTTCGTTTTCTTTCCATAATGTAAAAGAGCATCACTGAGTACATCAACTCTGTGACTTGGACGCATTTCTTTAGTCATTCTACTAAATTTGCGAATGTAAGCCCACAATCTCTCCAACATCTCACCGTCAGTTAGGCCAAATCCTTCTTTACGACGGGGACTAAATTTAACCTTTTACAAGAAAGATTTAGCAAAAAATTATTGATTTTTTATCGTTTTATCATCTACAATACCATTAGTTAAGACAGCATAAAAACCCAGGTATCACCATCTGTTAATACGTATGAAAAATAAAAACAATAACAACTAACTTGGCATCGTCCAACATGGCCATAGCAGTGAAAAATTGGAATTGAAAATTGAAAAATGTCAATAATTGGATCTTCCAAATTCTTTTTGTAAAAACAAAGTAAAAAAAAACATGTGAAAGACTACCTTTTCAAAGAAAAAAAGTGTTGAGGGAAAGTTATTGACTAAGGAAACAGGTAACAAAGCAACTATTGTCAATTGAATATTACCTGTAAGTGTTTCACCAACATGCATGCAACATCATACAATATGTTTATTTTGAATGCAGGTTTATCAGCATTATCTTTCTCTAATTCTTGGAGAACATAAACTGCATAGCTCAATCTATAAAATATGTAGAATATTTTTTTAAATAATGCAACCACATGTATGCAAAAAGCTTCAGCACTTGCACAAAGCATTCAAAGTAGCAAACCAACTGAAAAAAATAAATTTACACCATTAAATGCATGCATCCTAACCACCTCTTTCAAACCAAGAACATTTAGGTAAAAATAGAGAAAAATGTGTGTAACAGACCTCTCTCCATGTTTCAAATTTAAGAATTTTTTAGGAAACTCATGTCGACAGCCTCGTCCAAAGATTGCTGTTTCATCAAGAGCTCTGTAGCGATTCATTGATCGAACAGCATTCCCAGCACAAAAACCATGACACTCCTATAAGTATCAACATGTAACAAACAAAAAAGTATACAAGAGCTTTATTTCCTAAAGCCCATGGCACAAATTTATTGAAAATAAAAACTATGTGGTAGAGAATGTAAAAAAAATCAAATATATTCAAAGCACTGTAACTTCCATGCCTGAATTTTCATTAGAATAACAAAGTATATTAAAGCTACATTGACCTTGTTTGATGTAGGTGTGGTATAATTGGCAACAAATTGATCAACATGTGTCTGATCATAGAACATCAGCTGTTCAAATAGAGGTTTTCCAATACTCTGCCCAGCTTTTTTCCTTCGTCCAATAAAAAGAGCATCAAGAGACTCAAAGATCACACCATCAGTCTTCAATAAAATGGTGAAGGATAAAATCATGCAATGTAGTTGAGTTCAATGATGCAAATGATGCAGTCAAAAAGGTGTTTAAGATAGCATTGCTAATGTTCTTTTTACTAAATTGTCATTGTTAAACAAGCAATACGAATATACTCACTTTGGGACAAGCAGGACAGATATTTCCTTCATCAAGCTCAGGAATAACACAGCTCAACATGTTTAGTTTATGTCTGTAAATTCTGAAAAAAACAATGACACAAAGAAAGCAATTATGCACTCTTAAACAAATGACATAAACAAAATACAGTGCAATACAGTAATACTTGAGGAAAAATCCTTTCCCATCATAAACTTTAGCATTTTGATTTCCTCCAATTAAATACATCTCTTAAGATGAGATTCTTAGGCTATAAAATTGACTGCAACTTTCCCAGCAATTCATACGTAGTACAGCAGTGCAATAAATCAGTGACCTACATGCAATTACCTGTATTCTTCAAAAGCATCTATAATGACAGGATACATTTTGGTGTTGCATAAGAAGAAAATATGTGGTTATGATTAAACTCTTCAAATGACTGACAAATGCTTTTATTGATGCCTGGCATTCCATCTGCACAGAATGAACCAATTCAAAAAACTCAATTGCAAATGCAATTCTTGGTTTTGTAGGTGTTCCACCCCAAAGGCCAAATTGCAGGAGTTGAACAAACTCGAAGAGCATGAGCAAAACTGTACCTCAACAGTACAAAAGGTGCCTAAAATTGAAAAAGATCCAAAATTATAATTGTGTTGAACCATCCCAGCTAAAATGAAGAAACTTTCACAGCACATTTTACATATAACATACCTTTAACATCAACAACCGAAACACTTCTTTTGTGATGAGCTGTTTGGCATGAACAATCATACACCAGCATGTTCATGAGTTTATATGGCCAAAACATGCCATCCTACAAAGCAATGAATAACCTCATAGAAATTAATTGTAATCAATCCCTTTCTTGCATTCATAAAAATATTAGATTAGTGCTTAGCATGTTTCACAATGTAAACGCTCATTTTATTTTTGCATTTTTTGTTGCAAGTGTTGAGAGAGTTAACTGTAAACACTTTTATAATATCTAGCTCATAAAGGTTACCTTAAATATTTCAACATGATGACAAATATTTACGGTTGTGTGCATCTTTAACATACAGTTCTCACAATACTTTGCCATTGGACCACAATCGCTGCACCTAAACTTTGCTTCATTATCACAATGAATACACTTCAGATTGCTCCAATTTTTGCCAGAAAACTGAAATGTATTCTTTATAACTGAATGTCGCAAATTTTCCCATGCTTTTTGTTTTCTTTCAACTTTCTGGTAATAAGAAGCTGATTCTTCACAATCATGGTGAACATGACTTTCAAGATCACTGTTATCTTGTTCCATTCCCAGTTCATGGCCTTCCAATGCACCACAATTATCAGGACTGTTAATAGAACAGCTTCCTCTATGATCCTCAGTAACTAATTCTGACAAATCCACCTCCTCTCTCTCAACATGGCCATCCTCATCATGATATGTGACAGCTACAGTTGCTTTAAACCTTTTATTTGTCCTACAAAATTATCATAAAATCTATAAAATGATAATAAATGTTGAAAAGTCTAACAGCTATAAGGCCGTTATTTGGTGTACCTTGGCATCTTTTAAAATTACCAGCAAGAAAATCACAAATCAGAAAATATTATCGATATTACCAATGACACAATAACATAAGTTAATCGACCAAAGTACAACGTACGTATCTTCCACGACTACCAGCCGACGTTTTGTACCCGTACTTTACCGGCTTTTAGCCACGTCTCACAAGACGAATGGGGTGACTGATGAAGCCACGGTGGTTAAAATGCATTTGATTCAAATGAATCTTGAAATGGTGATAAAAGTGTGTTTCAATTGCCTTAAGCATTTTCGTTGCTTCCTCACTTGTGAAATACTTCTGTTTGTGATTATGAATAAGGTTCCAAATTTTCCTGGCGTCACTACCGTCCATTTTAACTAGAATGGTGTTAAGTTCGGTTATAAATGCTGGCACGCTGTATGTAAGATCCACCGACTTTGTTGGTTCGCCTATGCCAGCACAAAGGGTAACCAACCAGGCAAGGTCGGTCGGAGAAAAAAGTAACGGAGAAGCCCGGCAGCCAAATTGTTCTTCAAGCCAGGAAAGAAAGGTTTTCTTAAGCAAAACATTACTTTTGATCAAACATATCGGCAATGATGTGAAATTTTCATTCAAAACATCGATGTTTTCCATGTCGTGTAACTTTCCTCCAGCACAAAAAAAAATAGCGACGAGTTCTTCTTTGGTGAAAGCGTTCTTGTGGCGGCTGTTTGATATTTTTATTTCTACGCCGAAGTCTACGTCGTTATCACCTTGCAATCGCGAAATAATAACTTTCCTTTTTGCAGTAGACTCCATTTCTTTTGCCGAGCAAGTGTCGAAGCTGAGAAAGCCATTGAGATGTCGTTCGTACAATTTTAAAGTTTTTAAATCTGCTTGAAAAGAATACAAAGGTGAGATACGATAAACTCGCCATGTTTTACTGACAACCTTCGACGCAACAGTATCGTGTTTCGAAACTTCTGCTTCTTCCCCTTGCAGCCGTTGACGACGTCGTTTCGAAGCTTTGTGAGTGGAGCTTGGGCTATTTCTGTCAAATAAATTAGGTAACGGTGTCGCATAAGGAGTGCGCCGTCTCTTGTTCGAAGGAATCTTCGACTGACGAACATTAATGCTGTTGGATTTTGAACAGAAACTATCAACATTCACCTGCGTCAAGGCAGCCATGTTTACTCATAATTTGAAAATAAATTTTGAATTTTGATTATTTAACCGCCCGCCGCTACAAGTTGTGCTCACTAAGTACTTCCTGACTTAAATCATACCGCAGACCAACCCTAAAGCTCTTTGTAAATTTGCCACGTTTGAAATTTCCATCGTTCAACTCTATGGAGGGTGATCTCCGCCAAAATTCAAAGCCACATTTTCAATTGCTAATGCGCATTTTGTCCTTTGCAATGTGCATTTTGTCTTGATCATATTGCATTCCGGAATTTCATAATCGGATTTTGTCCTGTTCAATTTCCGTTAAAACGCATTTTGTTATTGAACATTCCATTATGATGACGCAACATTATTCGTGACTCGCAGAACATCAAATTTTACTCGATCACATTATAATTTATTTATAATTATTTACCGCCAAAAATTGTTAATATCAATAAATTATACTGTTGCAATATTTTATGCAATAACTATCACGATCTTTGTCCTTCGAAGCAACTTTAGTATTCTGTAAAAAAGAAACGATTTTTTTGGTATGGGGGATGATAATGGAGCGAAAAGTCGAGAGGCAGCAGCTTTGCTTCGCCGAGCAGCAAATTTACTGAATCCAGATTTTTCTGAATCAGCACAGTGGCGTGCGGTGACCGAATTTAATAGGCAAGCGCTGGGGGTGAGGTTCGCGGCATTCCGCGAAGCTATCTAGGGGTTCTGGGGGCATGCCCCCCAGAAAATTTTCGGATTTTGAAGGCTACTGGAGCGCATTTCCCGCGATTTCTGGGAGTACTTTGTCGAAAAAATGTATCTGTCATGACTGAAACAGTATTGAATAATCTAAAAAATTAAAAAACTTTTATAGAGTATATATCACAATTACGGTTTAAAAGTATTACATGTGGTATTGTGATATAAAGTCGTTTTAAGTAAATGGCTACGCGTGCATTTCTATTGTAGTGAAGAAGTAACAGAACGAAATAGTCCAAAATCCTACAACAGATTTACTTAAATGTAAATTCCATCCGTCTTTCCTTTGCGCAAAACTCCTTTATAACGTCCTCATAGAATCGTGGCTTCCCTGCAAACTTACCAACATCTCCTTCTCGATTGAAATTGTAGCCAATGCAGAAAGTCGCTCTTGCCCTTGTGTACTGCGAAGATACGTTTTGATACGCTTGAGAGCCGAAAATGATCTTTCTGCAGAGGAGGACGTACTTGGCATAGTAAGAATGAGCTGACACAATCGGTACACCTCTGGAAAACAGGCTTTCAAGTCAAGTTCGATTATTTTTGATATCATATCAAAAACAGGTTTCGATTTGAGCTCGGCAGATGCGTATACAACGATTAGTTCACTTTTAGTGCTTGAAGATTAAAGAATGTTCCATATGAATCTTGCAACGATTGCAGCTCTCGTTCGGGAAAATTCCGGCTGTACAATTCGTGCTTTGAATGATCCAACAAAGAAACGAATGCTCTGCTGTTAAGACTTTCGAATCTAGAGTCAATCTGCACGACAATGGTATCGACTACACAGAAAAACATTTGACGGAAGGACGCCTTTACATCCTCTTCACTTTGCCCGCGTTTCAGTGCTACTTTGACGATACTTGACGTAAAATTCCAATAATCTACGAATTTTGTTCGTTGTTCTTGAATCTTATCTTTCGTCTCGCGAACTTTCGTGACACAGAAGACAATATCGAACTGCTTACTCTGAATGATATTATACAAAACATCCGTAAGACCAAATATTTCTGAAAATATTTTAAGGCAGAACACAAACTGGAAATCTGCAAGAACTTGTCGGTAGCCCCTCGCTTCGTTTAACGTCGTACCGTCAAACTCGTCATCATTTTGATGATGTATTCGAAAACTTCGAGCAGCTTTGCTCTTGTCTCCAGTACAGCATGGATTAACCTGCTCTGATAGTGCCATCGAACAGCTGCTCTGATTAACCTGCTCTGATAGTGCCATCGAACAGCTGTTCCAGTGGGAATGCGTCTGCCGAATGTGTCCAACAAGTATGTTCTCTTGGACGAGGCGTGAAAAAAGGATGAAAGACCAGTGACGGTTCTAAAAAATATACGACACTCTTTAGTTGACGAGACATCTTGAACAAGGACCAAATTTAATGCGTGTCCGCAACAGTGGATAAAAAGAGCATGTGGATAGTCTTCTCTTACTCGTGTTTGCAAACCGGACAGTTCTCCTGACATCACACTCGCACCGTCATACGTTTGGGCAATCAGTTTTTCGCCGCATCCGTACTCGTTCAGGGTTTTAGCGACTTCTTGTTTCAGTCCAGCCGCAGTTCTATCCTCACTTACATCGGTAAATCCAAGAAAGCGCTCCACAGCTTTACCATCAGGGTTGACATAGCGAACTATAGTTGTTAGCTGCGATAAGGTCTTAACGTCGGAGGTTTCATCCAGGGAAATAACGACAAATGGGCTCCTCATCACTTCATCTTTTATTGCTTTCAACATAACGTCCTTGACAGCAACAATCAAATCGTTCTGGATACGATTAGAAAGTCCAGAAAACACGGTTGCTGTATGAAGATGCTGTTCAAGCGTGGGGTCATATGCACTTAGCAGTTTTATCAATTCGACGTAATTGCCCCTGTTGGCAGACTCCTCCAGCTCCACCCGACCTCTGAAAGAAAGTTCCTGTTTGCCAAGAAAGCAAACAACATCAATGAAACGGCGAAGTACTTCTCTATTCTTGTGCACTTTCTCTATTCTTGTGAGCTGAGATGTGTTGACGGGCCTGTTCGTCTAGCTGCATGTCGATGCGTGTACGCCCAAAACTGGCATTCATTAGGCAACTGGACAAGTGTGTCTTCGTTTTCTCGTGTCTGTTGACGGCATTACACAGGTTGGCAAAATCAACATATACCTTCTTGCACCAGACTGTCTTGTCTGTTGAGTTGAACAAAAGACACGGCCAGCAAAATAACTTATTCAATTTTGAGGAGCCAGCCAGCCATTTGTACTTGTCGTAATTTGACGTCTGAAAACTTCGAATAAAGACTTTACCACTTCGCTTGGATGTTGTATGTAGTCCAACTCAGGAGTGGGACGGCCACCTTCGACGATCTCTCGTTTCTCGGAAAAAGGTCTCAATCCAAATGAGCGGGATAACAGTGATTCCACAATGCATTCAGTCATGTTGTACAGGTGTCGTGAAAATACCGAATTGTAGAAGTAGAACATAAAAGGATGAAAATTCCTATGCTATATATTTTATAGGAACATCAATCTTATTTATACCTTACATCAGTTACATGATATCTTGTAGTGACGTACATAACGTGCGTACATTACTCATCTAGATTCATGTAGTAGCAATAGAAGAAATAGCCAATCCTACACTTACTCAAACGCGCTACTTAAACTTACGCACTTAACTTTATAACTAGGAGTTACTATCGCAAGGGAAGTGCTGCCCCTCCACCAAGTAAGGTAAAACAGTTTGGAAACTGCTATTGCGTGTTTTCCATCATTTATCATCTGCCATAAACAGTACAATAATGAATGGTAAAAATAAAAATACAGCAAGAAACCGCAACAACTCGTATACTTTGTCATTGCATAAAGACAAGCTAATTGTGTCATCTTTTATTTTCAAATTGTCATATAAATCAATTTATAGAAGTAGATGCAAGAAGTAACACTGTATGTATGTATAATTATGCTAATTTCAAAATGGAATAATTGGATGAACAGTTTTCAAAGCTCATTTTAAAAAATTTGCATATTGTCATTTAGAACTCGGCCAATAACAATTAAATCATGTTAACGGAGCTTAAATTTGATTTTGTAAAATATGATTCTGTAAAAGCCACATGGTTGATGTAAACACTGTGGACATTTGAACAGATTTTAACCTTGAAAAGTTTTTTGACTTTGAAAAGCCATATGGTTCCTGTTGAAAAAGTTTCAAATTTGTCAAAAGCTTAAAGTTTTGTTTGCCTAAATATTTTAAGACAATTCACAATTCTGATTTTGTTCTTTAGGTTGAAATAAAAACACGGCATGATTTCTTGTTTGATTTGTGTCACTTTCTTTTAGACTGCTTTTTGTGAAGCTCATTCGCCTTATTAATTGTAACCTGAGAGATAATTTAGTCTAGCACAAATCAATTTTTTGCAATACAACCAATACAATATGATGCATGGTTTACTCGCCATGTTTAATCATGATCGTGACTAAAACATCACACGAGTACACACGAGTACATACGAGTACATACGAGTACATACGAGTATATACGAGTAACATACGAGTACATACGAGTAACATACAAGTACATACGAGTAACACACGAGTACATACTAGTGACATACGACTATTTTCTGGTCAACAAATGAGAAACAACACAATTTCTTCAATACATTGATATTTGCGTTTATTTTTCCTTGCATTTGTGTGGACTTTGGGGCAACCATTTGATGGATTTAAATGCTGAAAAGGTATTTTACTTTCATACTACATTCATTTGTATGTTTTAGTTGAATTTGTTATAGATATTTTGTCGATGCGATTTACCAGTATTTGAGCGCTTTTTGAAACACTTTCACCTAGGAAATACATATTTATGAAAGCGATTATACATTCAGATGACTACCGCTAAGGTTGTCGAAACGTCAGTCAACAACAACAAAAACAGTCCGTCTCAGGACTATACGTAACAGTGCAACTCTCATTTAATTCAAATATATATAATGTACATTTATTTCATGTAGCACGTTTTGAAAGCATTATTTATACGTTGTTTATTTAATCGCTTTCATATGTATTTCCTAGGTGAAAGTGTTTCAAAAGCGCTCAAATACTGGCAAATCGCATCGACAAAATATCTATAACAAATTCAACAACAAACAAAATGTAAAATACCCTTTCAGCATTTAAATCCATCAAATGGTTGCCCCAAAGTCCACACAAATACAAGGAAAAATAAACGCAAATATCAATGTATTGAAGAAATTGTGTTGTTTCTCATTTGTTGACCAGAAAATAGTCGTATGTCACTCGTATGTACTCGTATGTTACTCGTATGTACTCGTATGTCACTCGTATGTACTCGTATGTTACTCGTATGTACTCGTATGTACTCGTGTGGTG